ATCACACATTTGCATGGGACACTACAGGTTTCAGAGATCATCCACATAATACATATAGTTTCATTGGATTCTCCCAACAACACTGTGACGTACTGGCCAATGATCTGACTATCTCAGATGAGACAAGGGAAGGTGAGTGCGCTAACTGACTTGCCAAACTTCATACAGTTTAAAAGTAGCAGAGCTCCTTCTAAGTCTAAATCTTAATGACTTTCAAATCCAGCTTCTCTTAATAACACAACACAATAATGCCATGTACTTTTTAGTAATCACTGGCTACCAGACTGGCCAGGCTTAACCGTTGCTAGGGATACTCCAAGGGAAGGGAATCACACGAGCAGTTGGTGGGGTAGGGTGCAAACAACACTGGGGGCTGTGAGGTGCTCACCTAGCAGGAGGCAGACTCTGTGTAGCAAATGGTTATCAATTCCCAAGATTCAGAAATCTTGGAGCAATTAATCATCTCAACCTCCATATGTTCCTGTCTCAAAAAACAAAACAAAACAAACAAACAAAAAACACCTCACTGCCATCAAGTAGATGCGAACTCAGAACAACCCTCCAGGGCACGGACAGGGTAGAAGTGCCCCTGTATCTTTTGAGTCTGTAACTCTTTATAGGAGTAGAAAGCTCTTTCTTCTGAGGGACAGCTGGTGGCTTTGAACTGCTGACCTTGTGGATCATGCCCAGTGCACAGGCACTATACCACCAGGGCTGCTTCCTGTCTCTCTAAGGGGGAGCAATAGCGTGCGAACCATAGATTTAAAAACCTCAAATGACCAGCACTAAGATGTGAATCTGAATTATTCTTTAAGATCACATAGTCACAAATTACTCAAAACTCACTGTCACGGCTTTCATTCCAACTCCTGGCAACCCTACAGAACAGATGAGAACCGCCCCTGTGAGAGCCCAGAGCTACAAATCTCTACAAGCGCAGAAAGCCTCGCTCTCCCTTGGAATGACTGGTAGTCTTCAATGGCTAGCTGCAGTCAGAAGCCCAACTCCGAACGCTCTACACACCACCAAGCTCCGTATTCACGTCTTAAACATTTACCATTTGTCAGGTACTGGGGAAAGTTTGCAAGCTATTTCCAAGTCAAAAATGCTGAGTGTTTAAGTATACCCAGAACACCAGATGTAACATTGATCCAATTTTCTCAGGAGCATACTGGAACTGAAAGGCAAATTAGGGTACATTAGGCTAATGCCTCATTTTATACGTGAGGAATAAGAGGGAGGCAGCAAATTTCGAGGCGGTTACACATCAGAACCAGCCAACACTACTACCCACATCTCTAGGCAGAAGTGTTTCTTCCAAGCTTCTCTGCAAATAGCAACCCAGGAATTCTCTGTTTTCAGTCATTTGTAGGCCTCCGGTAACCGGAGGGAAAGAGAGACGTACACAGAGAACGTGTGAGTAAGCACGAGGCTCCAGAATCCCATTTGCAGAGTGCCTGGAGTCTTAAAAGACTGCAAGCTGCCACCCCAGACATGACAACCATCACAGCTGCCGGGAGGGCAAAGAAGCAAAGAGCGAGGAGGAGATGGAATGTGTGACTAACTACCTCCTTGAAAATGCCTCTTTGATCGTAAGACCAGAGAAATGAATGGTACTCAAGCCACCATGAGTCAACACGTTGACCAAAGATTCTTTAGAATAATCCTAATCAAAGTGAGAGAAACGCGGAACACAAGTTTAAAATTGTCGTGGAATCTAGAGTTTCTGGATCCAGAGGAGCTAGATGAACTCTTGAACCGTTTACCTGGAGACAATCTTTAAAACATAAACCAAAAATATCCCCTGAAATCTTATCAAGACCAAACAAAGTTCTAAGGAGTTACTCTTGGTCACTCCCGATTCAGAAGACAGACTAGTGAAGACAACCGAAGATGCATGAAAACTATGGGTTAATGGACCACAGGAGCATCAGTTTCTATTATTCGAGACCAGAAGAACTAGATGGTACCCAATTACCACAATAGAAACCACCTTAGGTGGTCCTGGGTCGAGTGGGAGAAACATGTGGAACAAGATTCAAAAATAAAAGAAAGGTCCAGGTTTACTGATTGAATAGACTGGTGCATCCCCAGAGACTTGGCCCCTCTGTGGGCCTGAGGTGGAACTGAACTCATATCGGGCTCAATTTTCAGCCAAGGGGAACAATAACCCTAGGGAGGCACGTACTCCATCGAATAATCAGCTATTTGAGACCAAAAGAGCAGCATTTATACAAAGGTGACGTTCAGGAGGGATAGGAAAGGAGGAGAACTGGAAATGTGAAACATAGGAAGTAGGATATGTAATCTTATATTGAAGATATTACAATCAATGACATGAAACAAAATATGTACGAATTGATGAATGGAATACAATACATAGTTTAAAACAAGACAGACAGTGGAAAACCAAGTTGTGACTGTTGCTAGGTGCACTCCGGTTAGTTCCAACCAATAGTGACCCTATGTATAACAGAATAAAACACGGCCTGGTGGTTGCACATTGGAGTGCTAACCCCAAGATCAGCAGTTTGAAACCACCATCTGCTCCATGGGAGAAAGACTAAGCTTTCTACTCCCATAAAGAATTACATTCTTCTTGATATGATTGAATTGTGTGACATGTGGATGAAGTGCTAATAAAACTGTTAAATAAACAAACAAATAAATAAAAGAAGTACAGTTTTGGAAACCCATGAGCAGTTCTACCCTGTCCTACAGAACAGGGTTATTCTGAGTCAGAAGCTACTCAATGGCAGTGAGTTTGGAAAGTTTAGGCCTTGTGCCATCCTCACAATCCTTGCTATATTCGAGTCCGTTGTTGTTGCAGCCACTGTCAACCCAGTTCACTGAGAGGCTTCCTTCTTCCAATGGCACTCTCCTAAACATGCCATCCCTCCTGGACTGGTCTCTCCTGATAATATGCCCAAAGTACATGAGACAGTCTCCTGGTGGCTGTGCTGCTTCCAACACAGATTTGCTTGTTCTCCTAGCAGCCCACAGCATAGACAACATTCTTCACCAATTCCATAATTCAAAGGCATCAATTCTTCAGTCCTCCATTATTTGTTGTGCAGTTTTTGCATGCCTGGGGCAACTGGGTCAGCTCCACTTTAGTCCTCATAGTGAACTAAAACCTTACTTTGCTGTTTAAAAGAAGTCCTAGTGGTACAACAGATTAAGCGTCAGGCTGCTACCTACAAGGTCAGCAGTTCTAACCCACCAGCAGCACCAAGGGAGAAAGATGAGGCTGTCTGCTACCACAAGGAGTTAGTCTTGGACACCCTACGGAGGGGCAGTTCTACTCTGCCACACAAGGGTGTTACAAGTCACAGGGAAGTGAGTTTTGGTTTGTTTTGTTTTAAATCAACAAATAGCTAAGCAAAACTAGTAAAAATGTTTGCTTCAAACCTTAGGACCTTCTAAGACTCTATCTGGGATCAAAGTGATATGAGCAAACAACTAAAAAGATTAGAAAGCGTGTTAGGGGGCAGCAAATGTATGTGACTGGAGGAGGAAGCCCTCAGAACAGAAGGCTGAGGAGGGCCGCACAACTCAAAGCGTGTGATCCAGGTCCCTGAATCGTCTACGCAGAAACGGTTGCACTGAGCGCTTTACAGAGTGTATGAGGAGACCAAAGTCAGCTGACGCGAACTCAGAGCCACCGCATAGGGTAGAACTGTCTGTGAGTTCCCCAGACTATCACGTTTTACAGGAGTTAGAAAGCCTTTTCTCCCTCAGAGTAGCTGGTGTTTCCAAACTCCTGACGTTGAAGTTAGCAGCCCAACTCCAATTCACAGGCACGACACCACCATGGCTCCTGTGGAGAGACCAGTCCAGTCCCTGAAAAAGGACATCGAGCTTGACAGGGGGGCAGTGAAAGAGAGGAAGACCCTTGACAAGACAGACTGGCCCAGCAGCTGCCACAATGGGCACACCCCTAACCACCGTGGGGATGGCACACGGCCAGGAGGCTTTGTTCTGTTGGACCTGGGGTCCTTATGAGTTGGAAATGGGTCAACAGCAGCTAGTAACAGCAGCACTGTATTTCCGACAACAAAATACGTTTAAAAAGAGTGAACGGACTAAGTGGCACGAGCACACCTTGAGGTCCTTTCAATGTAACATATGCGTATGCTGTTACTGCACTTAGGTAGCTTTTGGTAGCATCTTCATCTGCCACAGTCCGTGTGTCCCCAGGGCGCGTAGTCTTTTGATTCGCGGAGTTACATATAATTCATACACCGCATTATTCACTCGTTTCAGGTGTACAATTCATTGGCTGTGGGTACATGCAGTTATATAACCACCAGCACAAGGAATATAGAATATTCTCATCAACCCAACAGACCTTTTGTCAGTCACTGCCCACTTCCTCACAATCTTCCCAAACCTAGGAAACCACTAGAAGCGAAAATAAAAATGATTCAATTTACCCAGTGATGACTGATGTGTATGAGGGGTGGGGGTGGGGGTTGGCCTGGTTTCGGAGAAGTCGAGGAAAAGGCTAAATCCCCAGTAGGGGAGTCAATATTCAAATACCTAAGGAACTCCAGTACTCCATCCATTGTGATAGCAACATCAATAAGCAAAAGGATGAGGAGGACCGTGGGATCCGCAGCAGTGCCTAGGGTGAGACAGCGTCCAGATCTGGGGAATGCCGCCCCTGAGCAGACGCTCTCATGCCCCCGGGCTTCCGTTTTCCCCGTCGGTGAAATGGGCACATAGAACAGTAACCCAACGCACCACCTTGGAAAGCCATGCCTGGCGCTCAACTCATCCCAAGAAGCTATGGCGGCCCGCGATAACAGCCAGGACCACTCCCAAGAATGAAAGGAAATCTTCCCAGAAGGCCTGGGTTTAAGATGTGAGTGAGCAGGTTCTAAATGCCAGCCCGGTTCCGCGGTAGCACCGCTGAGAGGACGTGGGAGGGGGCGGGGACCTGCAGACCGGCTCGCCGCCTCCCGAGCGCCACCCGCCCTCGTAAAGCACCTCCTCACCTTATCCAACAAGCCACTGCGGCTACTGCTGGTCCCGCAGCCGGGGCCACCGCCAGCCCCACTGTTGCCGCCGCCGCCGCCACTTCGGCCACCCGGTGCAGCCGCCGCCGCCATCTTCTCTGCCGCTGAGTCTCCCTCCCCACCGACTTGTCGGAAGCCGATTGGCTGAAGCGGACGGCGTGACGCGCCTCGCGGGGTCCTTCGGGATTCGTAGTTCGCAGTGGCGCCTGACTCCCGGTTGCGGGCGGAAGTGGTCGCGGGGCATGCCGGGACTTGTAGTCAGGGGCGCCGGCCGCCGGTTGCCGCCTCCACGGCCAGCCGCCGCTCCGCGGTTACTGAGGCGTGGGGAAAGTCGTGGCAGACGCCGCGGTGGAGCAGTTCCGAGATCCCCGGGAAACTCGCAGGCGCGCATTCCGCCCGACCGGGACGTCGCGCCCGCGTACGGCTCGCAGGCGGAAGCGACGCCGGAGGCAGGTGTGGCTGGAAACTTAGTTGGGTGAGGGTTAAGGGTCTCCTCCCACCCCAGGTGTAAAGTTTTCAAGGGGGCGGGGAAGAGCTTCCCTTTCGCCTTTTTCCAGCCCGATTACTGCACCAGTCTCCCTGGTGACCGTCCTTTTAACGGCTAGTATTGTTTTAGTTTTATGGAGAATCACGATTGCTAAGTAACTACTGCGTGCCAGGTAGTGCCCTGTGTCTGTGTATACACCATCTCTCCCATTCAGTCCATCACAGCCCTGCCGGATGAGGAAACGAAGGGATTTAACCACTCAAGGACAGTTAGCATGTATCAAAACTCGGTTTTGATGACAGATTTTCCTAATATCCAGATCCCTGGTATTGCCCCACTGTCACAATTTTGGAATGTAATCATCATATACGTTTTTATTAATGATTAATGAATATAATATTTTCACCTATATTTACTGGGCATCAGTATTACGAGGCACGGTACTAGGGTTCTAGGAGCGTCTCCAGAGAGACCTGGTACTTTTCATGAAACAACTCCTCTCAAAACTCACTGCCGTCGAGCTGATGCTGACTCATAGCGACCCTACTCCAATGACCCAGAATGATCCATAACGGAATCGTATGATCATTCTCTTAACGTTGCAAAACGTGCTTTTAACCACATGAACAACCCCCTAAGTATCAAATGATTGAACAACGGCCAACTGTGCAGCTGTCTTGGCAGCATCCTTGAGTAAGACAGACGGCTCCCGTTTGATTGGCCACTGATGTCCCTAAACAATGTTAGATGAGATCCCTGCACCTCTGAAGTGATCGCAGGTCACTCCACTCAGGTGCTTCTGTAGCCTTTTGTTGTGGGTCATCTTCTATAGCTTCTCACCGTGCCAGATCCAGCTCTAATGTCACCAGCTCTGTGCAACTTTGCCTGATCCTGACTTCTTCCTTCTTTGCAGAAAGCATGAAGTACTCCGTAGGGTTTTGTCCATGATTCTGTTCAGCTCAGCAAACTCTTATTGAGCATCTTCACTAGGCCAGGCGCCATATGAAGTGTCAGGGGAGACATGACTAAGACCCTGGTTGACCTTGGAGTAGCTCACAGCCAGGGCTTAGAAGGTGGAGGGTAGGGAACAGACAAGGAAATTACTGGCATAATGTAGTGTGACATAGTGCCTCTGGTAAGAGGAGGGGTGGGCCTGAGGTACAGAGGCCAGTCAACCCAAGGAGGGGGAGAAATATGAAAGTGATATAAGCTTATCTAGGCTATATAAGCCAAGCAAAGAAGAAGGGTAGACTGGGATAGGCCAAAGGCATGGGATGTGCAAATGTATGTAGATATGAACATCATCTATTCTCTGTGTGTGTGTGTGTGGCAGCTGGGAAGCACTAGAATCAGATTGACATTAGAGGCCACCAGTTTGAGATAAAAACCTGACGTAGCCAAGGCTTCCAAGTCTGGAACTTGAATTTCCTTATTTTCTGCCTTACAGATAAAAGTACACACTTTCCTTAGAGTTTCTTTCTAGATAATCTAGCCTGAAGGTTGTATGCCTTTCCTAACCTATTACTTCCATTCCTTCTCATCTGGTATTCCTAATAGAAAACTAAAACCCACAGCTGGCAAACAAATTCCGACTCATAGCTAGGTAACGGAAATTTCTAGGATTAGTTGTGTCCAGGTCTGTGTGTCCCTTATTAGCCTGAATCTGATTCATCCTTTGTGTTATATTCATAGCAAATAACTTTGCCAGACTTTTAATTTTAATTTTCTCTTTGCTATTTTTACCCTGTATATTTATTTTTATATAAATAACCATAACAAGTGGTGTGTTCTTGTTTGTTTTGCATGTTTTTTGTAAACCCTCCAGCCCTGTACCCTTTGTCACTCATCTGTGCCTCTGCTCGGTCTCCACATCTATATCCATCTCTTTCTGGAGCGACTAATTATGTGACCCTTTCAGAGACCCAGAGGAGACAAATTTTGAAGATGAAGGCTCATACTGGAATATAATTAACGACAAAGTTTACATTGTCTGAATGGCAGGCTAAGAAGAAGTGTAATTTCTGTTTTACAGGTGAAGAAACAGGTGAAAAGAAACAAAAAAAGGCAAGTTCGATTGACTATCCCAAAGTCAAAGATCAAGTAAGTACTATGCAGACCAACAGCCAGGTCCCTATCCTCGGTAAGTTGCTGACACCTTCTTCAACATCCATCCTCTGAACATTTCCCAGCCAGCAATTTACCCATTCATTAATTATTTACCTATCCAGCTAATGGTTTGGTCTTGAGAGAGGCTTCCTGAAAGAGAGATTAACTGAATATAAATCGATGCCCCTTCCCTCTGCCTATCCACCCGTTTCTCTATTCCTCTTACCAACAAAGTGTTACTGAGTTGTCGTCTCCGTGCTGGGTACTGGGGTCACATTGCTAAATAAGGTGACCAAGGGCCTCATAACAGACGGTCAGTTGAAAAGGAGAGTACACAATAATAAAATAGTAAATGGCAAATAAAGTGTTCCTGACCCTTTACAAGGGAGGTCAGGATCAAGAAATTCACAGAGCCCTAGGTGGAACCTGGAGAACCTAGTGGCATAACAAGTTACACATTGGGCCGCTAACTGCAAGGTCAGCAGTTCAAAAACTACCAGCCATTCCATGGGAGAAAGATGAGACTTTCTATGCCCATAAAAATAAAAAAAATCAGTCTTAGAACCTCACAAGGGCAGTTCTGTTCTATCCTATAGGATTGCTCTGCGTCAAAATTGAGTCCAGTTTTTGGTATATTGGACCAGAGGAGCCATGAACACACATTTCTCATTCAACAGACATTTACGGACTCTGTTATGTGCCAGGTGTTGTGTTAGGTACATGAAGTCATAAGCACAATAGAGATTACCCTGCCCTTGGAGGAGCTTAGAGTCTAATTAGGGAGCTAATTAGACACTTAGACACACACTTGTGAACCCAGGAAGTGCCATGGTATCCTTCATTTGACTCACACCTATTTATGGGGTGCTTCCAGTGAGCTAGATTGCGTCCAAGAGTAGAAGAGAGACAGCTGAATTATAAATGTTTCCACCCTTTGGAAACTCATAGTTGCCCTATAGTAGACCAAGGAAGACATCAACATTCATTTCTCATTCAACAGGTATTTCTGGAATCTGTGATGTGTCAGGTGCTATGCCAGGTACTAGGAATAGAGTCATAAACATAATAGCTATTGTCTTTTCCTTGGAGGTGTGTGGAGTCTAATTAGAGAGCTCAGGCATACCCCCTTAGGCTCTGGGATTGTATGATAGAATTTTGCAACACCAATGACGTCTTCATAGCAAATACTTTTTTTCAACAACACAAACAACAATAACACCCATGAATGTCTCCAGATGGAATTCATAGAAAGCAAATTGCCTACATCTGTGCTCAATATCAGCAGCTAAAATCAGGCCATATGCCAAGTATGGAACAGACCCATTAATTGATCATACGTAAGTTCTAGTTGAAGCTCAAGAAAATTAAAACAAGTCCACAAGAGCCAAAATATGACCTTGAGGTTATCCTACCTGAATTTCGAGAATATCTCAAGAACAGATTTGATACATTAAACACTAAGGACAGAAGACCTGATGAAAAAAAGAAAAGGTCAAAGTGGCTGTCAGAAGAGACTGTGAAATTTGCTCTTAATCATAGAGTACCTATGGCAAATAGGATAAATGATGAAATAAAAGAGCTGAACAGAAAATTTCAAAGGATGGCTTGAGAAGACAGTAAAATATAATGAAATGTGCAAAAATCTAGAGTTAAAACACCCCAAACAAGTACACAACATAACGTAAGCTGAAGTAACTAAAGAAAAAAATTCAAGACTTGAATTGCAATGTTGACAATTCTGAGGGCAAAATATTGAATGATACAGAAAGCATATTGAAAGAATATGAAAAGAATACACAGCGCCGCTATACCAAAAAGAACTAGTTAACATTCAGCCATTTCAAGAGGCAGCATATGAGCAAGAAGCAATGGTACTGAAGGAAGAAGTCCAACCTGCATTGAAAGCATTAGCCAAAGACATAGCTCCAGGAACTGATGGAATACCAATTAAAATGTTTCAACAAGCTGATGAAGCACTGGAAGTGCTTACTCATTGTGTTAATTTGGGTAGACTAGAGAAACAAATCCATATACACTCATGTATATAAGAGAGAGTTTTATATAAAGGGTAATTGTACATTAAGTAAGTATCCCAACCCAGTCCAGTCCATGCCCATAAAGTCCAATATTAGCTCTTATATCTGATACCAATCTATAAAGTCCTCTTCAGACTCATGAAACACATGCAGTGACGCCGAATGCAGGAAAATCACAGCCAGTGGGAAGAAAGTCTTTGGATTCAGTGGCATTGTGTTGTAAGCATCTCAGAGCTGGCAGGGGTCTCTATGTGGCTTCTCCAGCTTCAGAGGTCTGATCATATCAGGGTAGGTCCATGTGGCTTCACCAGCTCAAGGCACTAGCATAGTTCCATGTGTCTTGTCAGCTGTGAGAGTGAGCCGGGAGAGAGAGTCACCCGCCTCCAAAGAGGAATACTAGAGTTCCCAGAATCCTCAGGAGAAGGCCATTCCCACACAGAGGCCTCATTGGCTATGATCCGATTGACAGATTGGACTCTTATCACCTCACTTGTAACCCTCTCAAATTGACACCAGATTATGTAACTACCACACTCATTTATGCCGGGAAATTTGGAAAACAACTACTTAGCTAACTGGAGAGATCCATATTTGCACCCCTTCGAAAGAAAGGTGATCCAACAGAATGGGCAAATTATAGAACAATATCATTAATATCACATGCAAGTAAAATGTTGGGGAAGACCATACAACAATGATTGGCTATCTACTGACAGGGAGCTGCCAGAGCTTCAGGCCAGATTCAGAAGAATAAATGGAAAAAGGGATATCATTGTGGACATCCGATGAATCTTGACAGAAAGCAGAGAATACTAGCAAGATGTTTACTTGTGTTTCATTGACTGTGCCAACATTCATTCAACTGTGTGGATCATAACAAACTATGGCTAGCCTTGAGAAGAATGGGAATTTCAGAACACTTCATGGTGTTCACGTAGAACCTGTACTGGATCAAGATTGAGTTATGTGAACAGAACAAGGGAATACTGTATGGTTTAAAATCAGGGAAAGTGTGTGTCAGGATTGTGTCCTCTCACCATACGTAGCCAATCTCTATGCTGAACAAGTAATCAGATAAACTGGACTATTTGCAGAATAATGTGGTATCAGGATTGGAGGAAGGTCTGTTCTGGAGAATCTTTAATGTGTACTGGAAAAGCACACACATGAGTAAATAAAATTGTATTAAGGTTCCAGTTCATAATTGCAGATATATTCTCAACAAAACCTGTTTAAATGTGTCTCTGAAATCAGTGGATGGTTGTAGACAAGTTTTCTCAGTAACACATGTATTCCTAGTTTCATTTGCTTGTTTTTGCCCTAATTTTATCAGAAATTAATCACTCTTGTACTTTTTTGGTGCCATTTGTTTGATAAATGCTTTTCCATCCTCTGATTTTTAGCTTATTTTTATGTTTGTGTCCAAGGTGTGGCTCTTGTAGCAACATAGTGATGGATCTTCTTTTCATATCTATCCCACTATTCTGTCTTGACTGATACATTTAATATTCTATTTTAGTGTAAATATTGATAGGTATGAATTTATTGCTGTTAATTTGCTCTGGAGTTTTGCTTCTGTGCATGTGGTGCTGATCATTTCTTCCATATATTTTTCTGTGCTGAGTTCATTTTGTTTATAGAGTTTCATAGCATTTTCTTTGTTGCTGCTGTTTTAATGTTAACTGAAATTTTATGTAATTTTCTCTTTATTTTGATGAGAAGGTTATTAATTTTTTGAGGTTACTTGGTGTGTTAGTCTGGGTACATTAGAGAAACAAATCCACAGAAACTCACATGTATAAGAGAGAGTTTTGTATAAAGGCTAAGTGCACATCAAGAAAACATCCCAACCCAGTGCTGCCCAAGCCCACAAGTCCAACATTAGCCCATATGTCCAACACCAATCCGCAAAGTCCTCCTCCATCTCACAAAACAGACGCAATGATGCCGACTGTGGGAGGAAAGCTGAGTCAGTGAATGTGTAAGCATCTCAGCGCTGGCAGGGGTCTCCACATGGCTGCTCCAGCACCCAGGGCTGCAGTGGGGTGGGTCCATGCGGCTTCTCCTCGGAGATGTCTTGCAGGAAGTGAGCCTTGCCAGCTGAAGCAGGGAACTGGCTAAGGCAGCTGCAGCCTGGTCTGACCATCACAAAGCAAGAGACCTGAGAACTAGAAAGGTGAGGCTCAAGGAACCATTTATCTCTCTGCCCTTCAATTAACCCACATGTGTTTATCAGCCAGGTTGACACAATAAACTTTAACTAACTCACTTGGTATTTTACTATTATTGTCTCAAGTTTAAAACAATGCTTTCTATTTTGATATCATATTGATTTCCTCTCTATTTGTTAGTTCTGTAACTACAACATTTATTCTCTTGTTTGTTATGTAGTTGTTCATTATTTGCAAATTGTTATCTCTGGTTCCAGATTTTCAGTCCATAGCTTTATTTTTGATACTTCTGTATCTGGGTTGGTTTCTGAGTGATATTGTCATGTGTCTTAATCTCACATTGTTGTCTGCCATTGTTAGTTCTCTGTCCAATGGACTCTGATAGTTGTTTATTGAGCCAACTACGCTTCCATAGAAACATGTGGGTGGAGTTTAATCAGGGCGCAGCTTGCTTGGAGGTTGATTGAGATAAATACTTTCCGAGGCTGGCATCCCATCTCTCATTGTCCCTGGTGATTGGACTAGCATGCTGCTGCTTGAGCTAATTCTTTGCCTCAACCGTGTGCTATACTACCTGTGAGCCAAGCCAACCCATGGATTGTGTAGCTTGCCCTGAATCGCTAGAGCTTGAGGCTTCTTCATGTGACTTGCTTCGCCATGCTGCTGATGGATGTGTTGTCGAGCTTGGTACCTTGCTAGAGCTTGAGACCCCGTTGGGGACTGCTTCTCAATGCTCCTGAGCTACTGACTATTGCTGCCCCACCCTGCTGTCTGCTGCCTTCCGGGT